CTCTAGAGGCCGCATTTATGGCCCAAACATCGCGAATTTTTACATGGAGAATGGGATCGGCCCAAAGAATAAGTATGCCTGTTTTGATGAAGATCGGTCAATATTTAGCGGCTCAAATGGACCCTGACTTTTGTGTGAAAAATTACAAAATTCGTATTTATAGCGTATAGATTTACTCCTGAAGGACATAGACCCGAGATGTTGATAGCACATCCATATGTACTCGGATGTGGGAGTTACACGTAAATATTTACAGGTGCTTATGTATTCAGATATTATTTAATACACCATTTCCACACTAGAGGGCGGAAATATAGCGCTGATTGCTTTGAAATGTTCCATGAGGTTCCAGTTATGGTCAACTACAACGCCTATAATTTCGGTGATGATCAGATAATAATTTTGGGATGAAGTGAACCGAAAACATATGTTTTTTTGTGTTTTTTTCGATTCAATCTATAGGCTACAATTACAAACATTATGAACATCACAACACAACCCACGGTGAAGGGAATATGGACAAGTAATTAAAAGAGCTGTACTGAATGTTGGTAATATTCGAAAATATGTTAGTGTAAAAAAGAGGTGCTGTTGACCTTTAATCAGGCAAGAGGGTGCAACTATCACGAAATATTATCCAGGCTCGGAATAAAAGTCCGCAGAAAGATAGAGTTCTGTAGTAGTTGTGTAGGGTATCGTATGGTCGACCGCGTCCGACTATACTGCTCCGTTCACTGGTTTATATTTAAATTATAAAATATCGTATTTTGTATCTTATAATTAAAAATCGTTTATACTCCTTTTGCATTTTAGTTATTTTATTTTTTCTATTTAACCACAGACAACCCGTGTCTTTAGTGAAACTTTCTCTACTTCTTTGCTAAAAATTCCTCAGTTTACCCGGACAATTAGGCGTATACGTGTTGTTATAACTTATACGCATAGGAGGTGAATTTTTATCTATTTTAAATTAAGTATTTTGTCTCAGACAAACCGTATCTTATTCTTAATCTTATAGGAAAATTTCATAGCTCCTAGAGACATCGTTCTTGTTACACAAAAACATGTACAGTACCCCAAGCTCACTTGTTTTCTCAAGGATCTTCTTTACAGCTCCACAAAACGGTGATTTTTTCCCATAGCAAAATTTCAGGACTAATTTTCCTATGGGAAAAATTATACAGTTCGCGAGGCTGTGTATGTCAATAATTATTTTCGATGTTTGGAAATTGCCTAAACATAAAATATAAATACAACGATTTATCCATTGTTTTTCGTTTACTACTCAATATTGTTACAAAATTGACAAATTCGTTTTACAGTCATTTCGGTTACTTACCCTTGTCTTCTCGTTAGCGTATTTCCTTATGACAGCATTTATCATTCATATCTGAGTTGATATTTATTCATTTCGTTTATTAAAGATTTTCTGATATTGAAATTTCATTAAATGTTTTTATTTTATTGATTTATCTTTCTTCTCTTTAATGTTGTTGTTTTTTTTATTACATCTAAAATAATGAAAAAATTTCCTGTATTTTTATTTCTTGTTTTTTTTTTGTATGGTTCTTTTGTTTTTATTTTATTATTTATTTCGTTTCCTGTTTTTGAAGTGTGTTTGGGCTTAAACAACGAATACAAGTTAAAGTTTTATAAACATTCAACATTTATAAATATATATGTGTGTATTAGAATAATAGTTAAATATCTGCATGTTTATGGCTATGTAAAAAATAGTTTGTTATTTTAAAAATTAAAAAAAAATTAAATGTATATTTATTTTTGTATCTACAATAAAATCGTATAATAATTGTTTTTTTTTTTCTTTCAAACGTTAAACGTTTTTTATATTTCAAATTTACATTTGAGTTATCAAAATAATAATTATTCCAGGATTTGCACACATGGGTTTGTCCAAAACAGTAAAATTGTTTTAATACAAATAACACAAAATCACCTGTTTTGTATAAAACTTATTTTACTTTTTGTCATACATTAATTTATTATTTATTTTATTTTGACAACTCATTTTTATTCATATCAACTGTGTATTTATAATTATATTTAAAAAAGTTTATTGGCAACACAAATATATAGTCTATACTTAATGGCTAAATACAAATATCATAGTTGTATAATTATTTTTATTTTTCTTATTTTTATCAATTACTAAATTTATGGTAATGTTTACAAAATTTACATTTCATTTATATCCTATATTCTTAAGCTCTTTAATCGTTTATGTAAATAGTTTATTAGATTAATTTATCTTAACATATTTTTTTCTTAATTTAATCTAATTAAAAGATAAACAACTTTAGTAAAATTAATTTAATTTACATATTTTCTGTGTGTATTTGGGGAGTTTAAAAATAAAAATGTTGTATAGCAATATAATATTTTTTAGGGAATGTTTGAGAGTTGTGTTTAAAAAATAAATTTAAGTTTTGCATTTAAATACTTTTTAGCTATGACATTAATTTTGGAACTTATGGAGCCCAGTCATGGATATTATGAAAAAAACTTTTTTTAAGTATTTATAAAAACATAGATATCTAACGGATAAACATATGTTGAATTAATTTAAATTTTGGATGTTACTATCCAATAGAGCGAAAAACTATCCCAATAATATCATGTAATATTGGAAAAATATTAAAGAAGCTCATATACAATATTATTCCTTAATTTGTTTTTAATTCCAAATTTAACATAATTCTAAAAAGTTATTTAAACAATTCAATTATTCAATTATTTTTAAGTGATCTCCTGGGGATCAACGATTAATCACATGAACGGACTCCATTAGGTCTCGTAGTTAATAGAAGAATTTTTGTATGTTGTTTCCTAAAATTAAAATGTTTTTTTTTTATATTTTATTGTTTTCTTTTTTGATTTTTTTTTTTTTTTGATTTTGTGTTATGTTTTTTCTTTGGTTAAAAATCTTCCCTATTTTTTTTCTATGTTATATTGATCCATATTGTTAATTTTAGATATCATTGTACATTGAAGTTTAATTTTGATCGGTCTGTTTTTATTACTTTTTTTAAATTCGTTTATTTTTATGGAGTTTGAAATCATATGTTAATAATGGTCAACTTAGAAAACATATCAGTTTGTGTATTTAGAACATATGTGGTAAATTGACTTTACGCTGAACAAAATAAAAAATAATGATCCGAACGCCACGAAATTTTACACCAGGAAAGGAATCTGACCAAAGAAGTAGAATGACTGTTTTAATGGAAATCGGTCAATATTTAACAACTGGACCATTAAGGTTTAGCCCAGGGGCTAAAAATCGACCATAAAACTGTTTTAAACAACTGGATTCAAATGGAAATCGGTCAATATTTAACGGGTCAACTGGACCATGAGGATTAAGCCCAGGAGTTAAAAATCGACCATAAAACTGTTTTAAACAATTGGATTAAAAAAGAAGCTCGATGTTTGGGTACCACACCAATTAACAGAATTTTCATCTGCGAAGCCTTGGACAAACGTATGCTAACTGGAGATGATAAATGGATTACATACGATAAACCTGTGCGAAAACCTTAAACGGTGCACAATCCAGGATTAACGGCCAGGAAGGTTCTTCTATGCATTTGGTGGGACTGGAAGGGGATTATTTATTATCAGTTGCTTCCATATGATCAAACGATCTGATTCTTCTGATCTCTTCTTCTAGCAATTAACTAGAAACGGCCCGAATTGACTTACAGGAGAGGTGTCGTATCCCATCAAGACAACGCTAGGCCACACACATTTACAGTGACTCGCCAGAAACTTCGGGAGCTTGGCTGAAATATTTTAATGCATCCGCCATACAGTCCGGACCAAGCGATTATCATATCTTTCTTGCATTGCAAAATTTCTTTAATTATAAAAAATTGGTATCTGGGTAGGATTGTGAATATCGACTACTAGAGGACTTCTATGAGAGAGGTATTATGAAGTTACCTTTAAAATGGCAACAAATCATACAACCAAACGGTTGTAGTCCTATAGTTCATATAAAAATAATGGATTTCTTTTTCCCCAACAAAATATTAAACGTAGAGGAGGAGGAGAGAGGATTTCTAGAGTCTATTCTTTCCACATGGCATATTTTCTGTCAGTATTTTTGGTAATTCCTGTTTATGTACATATTTAGATATAGGTTTTGTAAAAGTTCAAATTTGTCTGTTATCTTCTTTATTCTCGAGTATCACTTTCGTGTTTTCAGAAAGAGTAGGTTCCTTATTAACAATAAAACATATATATTATATATATATATATATATATTTGTAAAACCTTGACATATTGGGAAATATATTTATGGTTCATATATTTTTCCGACACAACTCGTGCCAAAATAAGTACACCTCACTTCAAAAATCATGACAGTACTGGAACAAATTTCATGGACCCTGTATTCCCTGGCCTATAGCGATGGGTTATATTATCAATATATTCAATTCCATGCAACTTACATAAAATTGCGCTCCTATTAGTAGTTGGCCATTATAAAACAACAATTTCCTTATAAGATTCTAAAAACAAATCTCCATATTCTAATGACTATTTTTAAAACAATTAAAATTATTCTTATTCTTTACAATTGTTTCATCTTAATAATATCAATTATTTTCATAACTTACCACAAAACAAAAACTATGTAATTTTCAGATAATATAGAAAATTTCATTTAAACTTACAAAACTAATTTCTTTTGGCAATAAGACTAGCATTTTGTTTCGGTAGTTTTCACAAAAATCAATAGGGTTTTGAACCCAATTTTTTTTAATTTACAAAATAGTATTTCTTCAATGGTTTCCAAACTATTCCTCAGTTTCTAGGACACTATCTAAACCTAAAGCTACAATGTGATGTTGATGCTGATGTGAATGGAGGTGTTGGTGATGATGATGATGATGCGTTGGCCCAAATCGATGCTATAGAACATTATTCGATTGCAGCAAGACAATACATTCTCGTACTCTCTTCTTGCGCCTTTCTTATAAGTCGGTGTGTAGCACCGGAGGCTTGCCACCCGCCATTTCAGAACATTCCGATAGATTATCGATATTCGAGTTCTCTGTACACACACTACTGGGTGCCGGTGGTGGCATTAGCAAATTCGAATTTTGAGAATTACACGATGAGGCGACCATTTGTTGCCCCATCATATTGGGTGGTGTTAGGAAATTATTATTTGCCAGCTGGTGTTGATGGCATGGCACCACCGAACTGTTGGCCTCCAGTGATGTCATATTCGTATGACCAGTGGTTGTAGTGGCCGTCGTTGAATTCATTGCTGCCCGCTGACGAAATGATGCTCTCTGTTTGGCCTTGTTCGGTGCTAATAACTTTTCGGCATTTTTCGATTTGTTGAAGCGAGGAAACATGCTATTCTCCAATTGCAGCTGGGCATTGACATCCTTACGAGCTGCACAGGTGCATGCCTTCATGAAGGATTTCTTGAAATTATCCGACAAAAAGGCATAGAGTATGGGATTCATGGCCGAATTCGAATAGACCAAACAGCTGGCCAACAAGAAGATGGTTATCTCCAATCGTGACACGCACTTGCCCGGTGTCGAGGTTATCAAGGCCACCTGGGATATCCAATAGGGTAGCCAACACAGTATATATACGGTGATCACTGTCAGGACCAGCTTTGTCACCTTGCGATGGGACCGCTTCTTCTCTTTGGACTTGTGCTTGGGACCAACTGTGTGCAATTTCCGTATGACCAAGCAATAGAAGCCCAAAATGAAAGTCAGCGGGGTGGCAAAGCCCAGAGCCAGTGAGTACAGTATAAATGTGGTACCCGATTGGGTATTCTGGGCTTCCGGCCATTTGATGTTGCACGATGTGTGCTTGCCATTCGTCACCGTGTTGGCGAACAATATGACAGGCAACATCAGCAGGGCCGACGTCAACCAGGCAATGCCGGACACAATTTTCGATACCGTCGGTGTTCTATAGCGCGGCGATGATATGGGATGACAGACGGCAATGTAGCGATCTGCCGACATGATGAGCAGGAAAATTGACGATGTAAATTGGGTAATCGATGTACTCACCATATAGGCCTTGCAGGCGTATTCTCCAAACTGCCAGCTGCTGTTGTGCATTGTGTAGAGCAGGAAGGGTATGCCAATTAGGAAGCACTCATCCGCTATGGCCAAGTTCAGTATGTAGATGTTTGTCACAGTCTGCATTTTGGAAAATCTCAAGACGACATAGATTACCAAAGTGTTGCCAAATAGGCCCACAATACAGACCAGCGAATACAAAATCATAGTTATTAATTTAATGACGGTATTCTGGGGCGAACCGCACGTATCATCATCGGCATAGTCTAACGAATCATTTGCATACGAGTGATTGTAGCTGGCATTCTGAAGACGTAGCCATTCATTTTTGGCCCATTCGTAAAGTTGAAGTGTGGGTTTCAAATGTTCGTCATGAATTGATGTTTGAATATCATCATCAGCAGCCGAATCATCGTTAGCGGCAGCAACAGAAGCTGTAACTTTGCCATTGACATCAGCAGTCCATTTGGTTATTTCATTGGCATCCTTGTTATCATTTTTCTTGTTGTTTGTGGGATGTTGGTCTATTCCGGTACGTTTTTGTGGTAACATTAGGGCGGGCGGTGAATTATCATTAGTAAGTCCTTGTTGCTCATCTTTCAATTGTTGGTGTTGTTGTTGCTGCTGTTGTTGCAAACTCAAGTGGGGTAGTAAGCTCATTAGTAATATACTTAAATATAAATTCATGGTTGCTGTTATATATATTTTCTGCTGTTGTTGTTGTTATTATTGTTGCCGTCTTGCTTGCTTTCGTAATATATGCTTAAATTATTCTAGCAATGAAGAAAAAATAAATATTTCAGCATTCGAGGTGCAAATCACTATTTGCCACTCGCTCTCGTTTCCTCTCTCTTTCTCTTTGTGGCTTTTTCAGTTGTAATACTAATGTTGATGATAATGATGGTGGTGGTCGTTGTATGCTAGCCAAGCGACTGCCTGGATACCTTCCTCAAGTATTATTGCTTAGTATATATTTTGGCCAGCTTTTGTCGTTGCTTTGTGGTAATAACCTCATTTTTTGCTGTCTCCACTTCAACTACTAAAAAATGCTGTAAGTGGACAAAAAAGGAAAATAATTAGATAAGTAATAAGCGCAATAGAATAGAATAAGCACAGAGATAAAATACAAATATGGAAATATTAAATATTTGGCAGGAAGAACAACCTTCTAAACACACTACAGTTTGGGAAATAATTCTCTAGAAATTATTTCCGTACAGAGAAATATGATCACAATCACAATGAAAACAATTTGTCTATAGGAGCGTATACGTATTGTCGTTAGTTATACGCCCTAATATATATTTTCCTTTATTTAACATATAGAAATTGCTGAGAACTAAAAAACTCTTTTTTTGGATAATATTACTAAAAACTCCTTTCTCATAAATAATCCTCAACTTATTGAAGACTCTTTTCCAAAAAGTTTTCGCCTCTATATAAAATTGTTTTCTATAGAAACCAATTACTTTTTGTAAGCATAACAAGTCACAATGAAACCAATTTGTGTATAGAGGCGTATACGTATTGTCGTTAGTTATACTAACTCGAATACAACTTATTTTCAAACCTTATTCTGCCATTCTGTAGCATACTCTTCCATTATACATTATTTATTGCACAAAATATATCTAAGTAATGTTGTTTATGATTCATATATTTATGGTTAATATATTTTTAGGATACACCTTGTGTCTCTGAAAATTATTTTTCTCTCTGATACACAATTTTGTATATGGCTCAAAATTTCGCATAAAACCATAAAATTTAATTTGTAAGAAACACCTCAAAGATTGATATCTCCTCTCAAATAAACAATGATAGTAATGGAACAAATTTTATGTACCTTGTGTTTCTTAACTCCATTTGCAACTCCATATTCCTCGACTTACTGAAGAATCTTTTACCGAAAGTTTTCGACTCTCTACGAAGTTTTTTTTTTGGTAGAAACAAAACAATATAACCAACTTGTCTATTGTCGTTAGTTATACGACCTCGTATACGACTTATATTGAAACACTCTTCGATATTTTCGTATGGTTGTCACCAAAGCCTGAATAAAGTTAACATAACCTCTCCGAAGAGTGTTTCTGAGTCAACCGAAGATTCATGGCAAAATTATACAACAGCAATGGTGTGGAATTGTTCCCTGAGACAATTACTGCATATATAACCACACTCATCCACACAAGTTGTCAAACCAAGTTCATTTGGCTAAGGAAATTGTGACCCAATAAGTGGCTGTGGTCTTCAATGTTTTTTTACGATTTCTCTGCACCAAAAGAAAAAACAACCACAAAAGAACCAAAAGGAAGCCATTACAAATTTAGTCGTACTTTTACCATTACATGTGTGTCTGAATGACACTTCGACAACTAACTATGAATTGGCCAATAATCATGATTTATATGACTTACGTGCCTATTCAGTGTTTAAGGAACTGCCAATAAATTACCCATATTTCTAACTTTGCTCTGTGATATCCAGCTGGTGTGTATAAATTTGCTGCGGCATGACATCCATCAAGTTTCATTCGAACGAATCATCTGTTCCGGTTGCTGTTGGCGCAATTTTCGAGGTGACAACTTCATACCAGTTCGCCGTTGATGAAAAAAACCCATCAAATATTTGAAATACTCTTTCTCTGTGTGACTGTGACAATCAAATGTCAAATGATATCAGGCATAACATGTAGAAAAAAAACGACACATGAAAACACCATTTACATGTATGGTTGACTGGTTAGCTTTGTCATGGAGCGAACTTGAAATGGTTTACCATGGTTCCAAATGTGTTTGTGTGTGTGCCACAAACATACCTACATATGTAGCTGTGTGTGCCTAAATGGACAGCTAGTTTGATGTAGGTTTATGTCAGAAGTGAATAAGGACTCAGAAAAAACTTCAAGGCATTTTAAGAACTAAACATAGCAATAACAACTGAAAGTGGTTATACACTTCAAAGTGATATGGGTAGAAAGAAAGTTAAATGATTCCCTGTATCTAGGCATCGTAATATTGCAAAAAAAAAATTAACACACCTCAAATAACACACCTCACAAACTAAATAAATAAGTTTATCACTTTCAGTGTCGAAAATAGTTTTTGCTGCCCTTAAGACACTAATTACCACATTCCCTCATTTGTGTCGTATACGTGTTGTCGCAACTCATACGCCCCTCAACACCTTTATTCATATCAAGCATATTTACAGTTTCACAAATACAGGAATATTAAAGATAAGTATATCACTATTATTAAGAATAATTTCTGCTTTTATAATGACTCCTAATAGTACAAATAAATTCCGTTAATTGTATCGTATGAGTATTGCCACAACTCATACTCCCCTCAACACATTTATTTAAATGTAGTTTCAGGTATTTATATGTACAAACTCACACAAGTAGGAATTTTGGAAATAAGTTAATCACTTTTCTCTAAAATAATTTCTGCACGTATAATGACCCTTAATGGTGCCGTATAAGTATTGTCACAACTCATACGCCCTTTAGCACCTTAAATTATTTTGCTTTGGAAACTACATTCACAACTTTTTTGAATTCTAATTGGCAAACCTAATTGAATGAACATTTGCTTCTTTTCAATTTGCTCAAATATTGAACAAAAGGGCCATGTTAAACGGCTGAAGAAACTGAAATGATCCATTATCCTTTTATACTATTCTCTAGCTTTTCTCTTTTCATTTATTGCTTTTTCACCTTTACCTTGAAATTTGGAATTTTCCAAGAATATTTACCAACCTGTAATGATGCTAATGAAAATCAAAAGGAACCATTTTTGCCTTCTACTTCTTTTGAATTGAAGTCAAAGCAGTTGCAATTAGCATTGACAGGATACAAGATGTGCAAAGAAAGGAAATGAAAACGAATGTGTAACTGGCTTAAGGGCATTAATATTGAACACAAAGTTGTAGGAAGGATGCTAAACTAAACAAAAAACTGATTTCAATTGCTAAAAGATTATCTCTTTCAGAGAATATCAAATTCATTATTGATTTGTATGTGAAAAAATATATCGCAATGCTGTGCAAAAAAAAAGTTGAATGCAATATGGCTTGAAATTGTCCGCTAACAGCTATGATTTATAGAAAAATTTCCTCCTCCATCAATGACTATTTGCCATTTTTTGGTCCTTTAGCACCTAAGCAATGCGAGGAACCGCACAATGTTACAATGCCTGTTCACAGCCGGGCAATATTTATGAAAATTGAAATGGCAATGCCCCTAGTTATGGCTAAGTGAACAACTGAGGCACATATGTACGTGTATAACATGGTTGTGACAGAAATGGTTTGCGAAAATCAAATCCAATAGGGATAACAGCAAATGACAAACCATACCAATCCGGCATATGGGCACATATTTTTCTGTTTTCATTTCAGCTTTTGTATTCCATGAGATTGTTTGGTAAATGTCATATGAGGTAGTCAAACATTTTTTGACTTGGTAATCTCAGTATTTTATGGATCACATTACATAACGATTCAAAATATTTCATTTAACTTCTTACTAGCCAATTCCTGAAGTCTTTTGTACTTCAATATCATGGATTTGTTTGCAACATCAAAGCCATTTGCCTTAAATGAGTTTTGAATTTATTGTTGAGGTACACAATGGCGTATACGTTGTGACAATACTTATACGCGGCATATAACTCTCTGTTTTTACAAGAATGTAAATGTATTTTTATATAAATGACGTTTTTTCAAAGCTTAAAATTGCAAAGAAAAAGTTTTGTAAAATGGTCATGTGGAATTGCCCACATGTTGACAATTAGGGACCCTTTAATCGTCGTCCCTGCCAGCCAACAATTATAAATTTCAAATACTGCCTCGTCGAGGACATGAAAGAAAACAACGCCTAGGCAATTGTTGGTCCATGACATGCAAATGAAACAAAACAACTCCCCCGCACCCATACATACACACACACACCACTACACAAATTGTGTCAACTCGGAACATGGACAACAATACACAAAACTGATATACTAACATTGTCCTGGGTGAACCATGTTCCGCATTTTCTTCAAAACAGTTCCGTAGTATTACTGCTCGCTTGCTCGTTTTTTTTTCTTGTGTAATTTTCACTTGACTATGACATTCTGCTCCGAGAGCTGCAGGCTTGGCACGATTTTTAACAAGCAACACATGTTACTGATGTTATCTCCTCTTGATGTGGTGGTTATGAAGTGGATTTTTGTTTGTTCCGTTAGCGATGTACATATATATTTTAAACCGGGTCAGTTTTCCTTAAAGGATTCATTCTTTGCAAATGGCCACCAAAACCATTTTTTATTTAAAATTCTATGAAAGAAGTTGTTTACTTGTTTTATGACGCACAGCACAGCCAATCTGATCCTATATAAATATTTATACACCATAATTAAATGCCACTTCAAACTGAATGCAATAAAGGAAAAATCCTACAGTTCTGTTGTTAGCTTTGTAGAAATATGATATCTTTTATTCCTTGTTATTCCTGAAATATAATATATTTGTAGTTTGTCGTTTTTTTTTCTTCTAAGATCTATGACGTTGTTTTTAATAAATATATATTAATGGAAATGATTTAAATTTCAAAGTTGGAAGATTAATATTTTAAAAGAGAGTGGGTAAAAAATGACCAACAACACACTGCTGCCAATGTGAAGGAGCAATTGACC